TGTTGAATGTTTGTCCGTGATTTGTGCATATCGAGATCCTCATGGGTTCCAACATTTGAATCCCATGCTCCTCACAAAACTTCTGGAACTGTGAATCGGTGTACTCTATACCATTATCAGACCTTAAGTACTTGATTTTCCTACCAGTCTGGTTCTCCACCTCAGCCTTCCATAGCTTGAATTTAGCAAAAATTTCAGATTTATGCTTCATAAAATACACCCAAACTTTCTTCGAAAAATCATCAATAAAGGTCACATAGTACAAAGAACCACCAATTGATGTCACTCTAGTAGGACCCCACACATCTGAATGTACATAATCCAGAATTCCTTTTGTCTTCTTCTTCCCAGTCTTGAAACTGATTTTTGTCTGCTTTCCCAGAACACAAAACTTGCAGAAATTGAGTTTGCAAGTTTTAACACCATGCATAAGCCCCCTCTTATGCTATTCAGTCATGCCATGTTCACTAAGATGTCCAAGACGCATGTGCCACAATTTCGTGCTATCTTCACACGACTCCACCGAATGGACTCCACCTACAATTGTACTTCCCAACAATTTGTAAATGTTCCCTGCAGTAATCCTCCCCTTCATCACAGTCAAAGCACCCTTCACAATCTTAATGGTTTCCCTATCCTCATCAGCCTTGGGAATGAAACTATTTCTATGCAAAGTACCCAAAAAGATCAAATTCTTCTTCAACTCAGGGATATGTCTCACATCACATAATGTCCTAACAGTTCCATCATACATCATGATTTTAACATCTCCAATACCGACAATACTGCAGCATCTATCATCACCAAGAAAAACAAAACCCGAGTTACCTGGTTTATAAGTAGCAAACCACTCTCTGTTAGGCGTTATATGATATGAACATCCAGAATCGAGAATCCAAGCATCATCATACTGCGTAGTCGAAATAGATAACATATCTCCATCACTGCAATCGGATTCCTCATTTTGTACCACATTTGCAGACTTGGATGACATATCAGCAGTCTGTTTCTTCCACTTTTGGCAATCCCGTTTATAGTGCCCTTGTTCCTTGCACTTATAACACGTCACAGTTTTTCTTCCTTTCGATTTGTCTCGCGACTTGGATCTGAAATTCCGATTTCTTGAATTATCCCGCACTTGTTTCCTTCCACGATCCTGGTTACCCTTCACATATAAACTGTCACTTTGAGAAGATGACTCTCCAGATTTCTATTTCCGCTGGTTGTGAGCCAACAAC